CCTAGAGAAGTCCAGTGGGGGAGGCACAACACAGAGGGGGAGGGTCCGGGAAGACACGGGGCGCAAGCCAGTGAGTGTGGTGGCTGAGGAAGAGGAGATCAAAAAAGACTGGCTGGGAAGATGGCTGGAGGGAGAGCCCCAATCCCGTCTAAGCCTGGCTGTCCTCTCTGAGCCTCGGTTTGCCAAACAGGAGCATAGAGAAGCCATTCAAGGGTGACCCTCTGAACAGGCTATATGAAAGCACAGGGCCCTGAACACAGCATCTGGCAGGTGCCTGAAGCCCGGGGCCCTTGCTGCAGCTGATGCCCCCACAGCATCCTGTCTGTGAGGTGAGACACTTTCATTTACAAACGGCAGACACACAGCTGAAGCCCATCTAGACCAAAGGAGGGTGCTGGAGCACCATGTCCAATGGCAGGGCCTGACCTCCTCCCAGGGCGGATCCAGGCCTCGGTGGAGTTCTCAGCAACCTGCAGCCCTAACCTCCTGACTATCCTCTCGGGATGGTCCCTCGAAACTCCTGGCCTGAGCCCTGTTGAATGGTCTCCGGGTGAAAGAGTGTCTTCCGGTGTGTCAGGCAGAACCAGCTGACTGTAGTTACTCTTTTGTTTTGCCCTGCTTTTTCCTTCGCCAGCATCTAACAGTACATGGCTCCCCTTCCTCTAGCTCCCAGCAAACAGCGCTTCTGTTAATAACTGCAATGAGCTATGTGACAATAAGAAAACCTTAACCTCCGGGGTCTGTTTCCTTGTCTACAGAATGGGCCCAGTGAGTGCAGCGGGAGTGGTATGGCTCCCACGTCTCTGCAGTAGAGCACCTGGTTTTCTTCAGATGCCTGCTCATTTACAGTCCCTTTGAGTTCGGGGTAGAATATAGAACATGGCAAACCTCGCCAGTCAGCACAGGGGAGTTCTACCAGCCTGTGATTGGTTCAGGAGAGTCATGTGTCCTGATAGAGTTCGATAGAATAACCTCAGCCGGGTGGTGGTGGTGGCACACTCCTTTAATTCCAGTACTCAGGAGGCAGAGAACAGTGGATCCCTGTGAGTTTGAGGTCTACAGGGCGAGTTCCAGGACAGCCAAGGCCACCCTGAGAAACCCTGTCTCAAAAAACAAACAAACAAAATTTTAGTGCTTTTGCTGGAGAGACCGAGACATATTTCATGGGCTCCCAGAAGGATATGATACTCAGAGCAGACAGAATCATGACCTGACCACAGGGAAAAGCTGTGAGGAGAAGGCTGAGTGGGTAAATTGTTTACTCTAAGCATGAGGGCCTAAGTTCAGATCCCAGGACACGTGTAAAAATAAATCCAAACTGGTGACTCTGGGAGGCAATGATCAACCACGCTTTCCTGGTGCCTCCCAGCCACAACCTACAAGTCACTGTGGTCCCCGGATTGTGAGGCCGCTTCTCTGCTAGCCCAGCGCCTGTTCCTGCACGCCTACCTCAAAGCCATCTGCCTCTCCTAGTCAGCTTCCACAGCTAATGCAGAGAGAGTTGCTGAAACGCAAACTCAGCTCTGTCATCCTGGCCTCCCAGTCTCCAGGGACCAACCATGGCCCCAGGATGAAGCCGTCAGCTTGCTCAGTCCCTCCGTCCACCCTTACGTCTGCTGTGGGAAAATCTTTTGGACACCGTGGAACTATATCACTCCGATTCGTTTACTAAAAAGCGGAATGGCCAAAACTTAGGCAGGATTTCCAGGCACAGAGGATGCTGGGAAGATGGGTGGGGTCACAAGGAGACACAGAGGAAGCGTGACCTGTAGGAGATGAGATAAGCCGTGAGCCACGTGGCAGTGCTTAATAGAAATGGGTTAATTTAAGTTCTGAGAACTCGTTAGAAACAAGCCTGAGTTATCTGCCAAGCTTTCATAAATAATGATAAGTCTCCTGTCATAGTCTGGAAGCTGGCTGGCAAGATAGGAAAAGACTAGCTCCTACACACGTCTGTTTCTCCAGGATCCTAACGCAGTATTTCTTTAGCTCTTCAACCTCTCCTCAGGGCTTTAGTATATGTGGCCCATAAAGCCTGGAACATCTTGGGCAATTCACCCAATTGTCACAAATCAATCAGTGACGCTCTGGCCCGGGGCTGATTATGCCACACACTTTATGTCCACCGTTCCTGGGCCTTCCTTGATCTTGTTTTTGTTTTGTATTGGATTATTTGGTTTGCTTGTTTTGTTTTTCAGACAGGGTCTTGCTAAGTTAAGTAGCCCTAACTGACCCAAGACTTGCTGTGTAGATCAAGCTGGCCTTGAACTCACTGGCTCTGCCTGCCTCTGCCTCTCAGGTGCTGGAGTTAGAGACACACACCACCATGCCCCAGGCCCTTGACTGTAATTATTATGAAATCATCCAGACCTGAAAACACTTCAAATTTTTATTTTGGACCCTCCCCCCATTACAATGTTTTGGGGGAGGCAATGCCAGAGCTCAGACCTCCGCACATGCACAAGTCTGCTACCACCGACTTCCCCAGGCCGACTTCCCCAGGCCAGATGTGCACAGTTCGCTGAGGCCTTTGTTGCGCTCCCATCCTGGTCTCTCCCTCCACTGAAGGGGGCGCTGTCCTGAGTTTCATATTCACTCCTACACCTGCCTTGCTACACCACATGCACGTGCCCCTGAGCAACACAAACAGAGAACATCCCTAAATCCAAACATCTGAAACCCAAGACACTCCCAAATATAAAACATTCCGAGTGTTGACATGACATCCTGAGCAAAAAAAATCCATGTCTGGCTTCAAGGGGCAGGTTTCAGTCAAATGCAGGTGCACTCACAATCATGGAGAGAGCTGCTCTCAAGACTATGTGTATAAGGCGCATATGAAACTTAAGAATTCCATGTTTAATAATAATAAAGTCCAAGCAGAGGCAGATGGCTTTCTACTGGGTCCCTCTGTTTCTCGGCAACACCGCCCTGCACAGCTGGCGCCTGTACATCCATTGAGCTGGTAAAGGTTCTACTCAGGGAACCCACTAGGCACAAGGGCCTGCCTATCTTCAGCTTTACCGCTTGTTGCTAAATTGTTTGACAAGGTTGTTCTGCCAATTTGCCTTCATTAGTAACTGCTGTTGGAGCCTCTGCCCATTCCTCCTGCCCCTGCCACCCAAAGAAAAGAATCTAAGCCCATTAATCTGCTGCAGCTGGATAATCTGAAGGGCTCCCCTGTTTCCAGCTGTTGGCACTTTGCAAAGTCACCAGAATATAGAGGCTACCAAGAAGCAGCGTAGTGACTCTGGAGGCCCAGATCTGATCGTAGACTGATCTTTCTGGCTGTGCATCTTTGAGCAAGTTACCTCACCTCTCTGGGCTTGTTCCCTTACCTACAAAATGCAGACACTAGCCATAACCATCAACAGGGAAGCCACAGTGATTATGGGATACAGGGGGTACCAGGAACTCAGATTCCTTCAGCAGCCACGGAGAACCACTAACTCTGTATTCATCAGAGTGGCATTGGTTCCACAACTGACACCCTGAGCCAGTTGCTGGCACACTGTGATTTACCAGCCTACATGAACCAGAGGTTGTAGAAGTCATTTTGCTCATTTGTGATAAGATTCAGGTAATATCTAAACCACCCCTCTCCTATCCAGGGTTTCATTCATAGGCAGGCCTTGCCAGTGGGATCTCCAGAACTATATCCTTCTGACCCGGTAACAGCTGGGATCAAAAGGTCTCCTGAAAATTCCCAGGCCTATCCCACCGCCGCGGGCCACAGGCCCTACCTACCATCATTAAGCAAGACAGGAAAGGACCAGCTCACGCCCCAGGACGGAGGCCTGGGTTGCCACCTCTAAACACACACAGAACGGAACTGGGAAAGAGTGGGTCCTGAAGGAGACCCGGATAAAATGCCCAGAACACAGGCGATGGAGCCAGGCCATTCCCACTTCCAGACCCAGCAAGCTGGCGCTGCAGTGACATTTGCTGGCTGTGCCTGAGCTTCAGCTGCCTTAGCCCACTTTGGTGCGGGGTGAGCTATGTCCCACTATGTGTCTGTGCCAGGCTGGCTTCGAGCTCCTGGGCTTCAGAAATCCTCCCACTCCACCCAGAAGCAGCCGAGATGACCTGTATACACCACCGCATCTGACTTGCTCAGACCACTTCAGTGACTTCCCTGAGAACCACGCAAAAGACAAGAACCGAGACGCCTGTGGGGCCATCAAGGCCAGCCCTGTGCTTTGCAAGTAGAAGGAACGAGAGTCACCAAGGAAGGGTCTTGCTGCTGACACACACTCCCCGCCCAGAGGTGCCCTGTACCCCTTCTCTGTCACTGTCACAATGAACAGTTGCACACCCATGAACTACCTGTGGGGAGATACATTCTGAACCCCAGAAGGGCCAGGCTGGGTCAGAGGTCTCACTCAGAAAATGGCTAAGTTCAAGTCACTGTCTGCTGTCACTTACAGTATTTAACCAAGACTGTGGAGAGGGGCCCCTGTGGAGGAGGGAGACCCAGACAGACAGACAGACAGAGTTATCCATAAACTCTGTTCTATTATTTTGTTTTTGTTTTTGTTTTTTTTTTTCAAGACAGGGTTTCTCTGTAGCTTTTTGGTGCCTGTCCTGGAACTAGCTCTTGTAGACCAGGCTGGCCTCAAACTCACAGAGATCCACCTGCCTCTGCCTCCCAAGTGCTGGGATTAAAGGCATGAGCCACCACCGCCCGGCTATCCATACACTCTGATGCAGACTTGTGTACACACACACACAGACCTAGACCCATAGGTCATGTATGTCCACCTTCACAAACATCCCACAAAGAAAAGGGCAGCCCTCAACCCAACACTTCCTTACCCAGCCTTCCAGGACCCCAAAACCAACAGGGCTGCTGACATCTGTACACATCTGTACTCCCAGCACCAGGAAGGCAGAGGCAGGATGATCACCCACATGTTCAAGGCCAGCCTGATCTATACAGCAAGACCCTGCCCCAAATAAAAACAAAAACCAAAAGGAAGACTTCGGACCATAGGGGCCTTTATTCCATGACAGAGTCAGGCAGGAACAAGATTCATTCTCAGGCTTCATCAAAGGTGTAGAATACTGGGGACATAGATTGGACCCCAAAGTAACAATAAATTAGGAGAGATTCTCAGGTTGTTGACAAGGCAGAGGTCAAACGGGATTCCTTTAGAGCCACTCCCAGCTGCCCAGTTCCACCCTCCCAGCAAGGCTAGTTCCAGGACAGATGGCTGCAGCTGGAACACAACAGGGCAGGGGAGACAGCAAGGGCAGAGTCACCGAGTCATGAAACCACTCAGGTATCCAGAGCCAGATGTGCCTAACAGCTGGAGGTGGCCAGGAAGCGGTCCTGGCCAGAAGACCTGCTCACCAGGCTCTCAGTGAAGTTCCTGCAGGTTCTCATAATCGGGAGCTTCTTCTCCCTCCACTCCTTCATCTTCCACTTCCTGGGAGGTCACAGTGGCTGGGAGGGAAAGGCAGAGGGAGATTGGTGTTCAGTCCGCAGGCTACCTGCTCAAGGCAGCTCTCCAAACTTCTGCCCCCTTCCACGTTGGTACACACCCTGCTCAGCACCACTCACTGGCTGCAGCTCCTGGGACACATTGACATATTCCCGGCTCCCATCTGTGGAGGACAGATCAAGAGGGACAGTCACGGGAAGGACAGGCCACGGGAAGGGTGGGGAGAGGCTATAGGACATACATGGGGTACAGAGCCACCTACCCAGGGACGCTTCTGCACTGTCCTCACTCTCAGGAACATTCACGTAGTCTTCACCCGACTCCACTGCAGGACAGCCATTGCAGTACAGTGACTAGAAGACCCTCAGCCAGGCACTGCTTCCCAGAAGCCCCCCTGGTCTCCAGACACAACCTTCCCCCTGAGACAGTCCCACAGAATATTCAGGAAAAGCAAGGGGAGCAGCCTGGGCAAGGGCCAAGAAGATGGACAGAGATCGGCTGAACCAGGGCCACCGGGAAACAAAACAGTACGCCACAGTACGGCTGGGAGCAGGGAATCAAAGGCGCTCAGAGGACAGACACCTTGGTGGCATGTGAAGGAGGTGGCACACTTGGCCCAGATGGTGTCCTGTCTTCATCAGACCTGTCTGGCTACTCGATATTACCAGTCATTACCCACACCGCATTTTCCCAGGCCCACACACATCATTTGTTCTGTTACATTGCTTGTTTGGTTTCACAGTTGCCTGGTTTCTGTATGAGCAAGTAGACAAGCGGGGCTTTGGAGCCAAATATCAGGGTCCAAATCCCAGCTCCAGCACCAGCCAGCTATGTAACCTCAGGTAAGTTACCTCAACATTCTATACCTCAGTTTTCTGTCTGTAGAATAAAGTTCGTAACAGGACCTGCCCACAGGGACTATTGTGAGAATGTTGAAACAGTAAATTGTAAAACCAAGCCTGCCATATACTATGTGCTACTAAGTATCTATTCATAAACCTGCTGGACATGGCGACACAGGCTTGTGGTCCCAGAAGGCTGAGGCAGGTGGTAACTTGAGCTCTGGGTTTAAAGACAGAACTGGGTGGGCATCACTAGAGCAAGACTATGTCAATCAATCAATCAGTCAACAGAAATGAATGAACGAACCCTAGCATAGTACGGAAGAGAAGAGCAGGAGGGGAGGAGTAGTCAGAGGAGCACCCAGGAACTGTGAGGTTTAATGAGTTATATGTACTACAAGGGAAGAAAGCAGGTCCTCGGTCACCAGCAGCTCCTTTAGTATCTTCGTGTGTGTGCTAGGCAGATGCACCCACGAACACACAGAGGCTTTATCCACTCCACCTCAGATCCTTGAGATACGGCCCCTAGCAATGATTCTTTTATCATTACAATTTTGCTGAGTTGACATACTAATCCCTAACATAATCCAGCAGACATACCCAGGAAATAAGAGAGGGGATGGATGAATGGGTGGATGGATGGATGCATGTATGGATGGATAGATGGATGGAGAATCACTTAAACATTCTCAGGGTACAAGAGAGAAATCACAAATTAGAAATCTATATTACAAATGGAACCAGAGGCCAGGTGGAACATGCCTATAATCCCAGCACACAGAAGGCAGAGACAATTGGATCGCTGAGTTAAAGGCCAGACTAGTCTACAAAAGCAAGTTCTAGGACAGCTGGGACTACACAGTGAGATTCTGCCTCAAACAAACTGAAAAACCACGCAGGGCCAAGGTATAGACACAATAGTCTAGGGTAAATGCAGAAGGTTGGGTGTTCTGAATTAAAACTCCAAAATTCAGAATATTCCAAAATTCCAAACCTTTTAAGTACTGGTATGATGCCACAAATGGAAATTTCTACACCATGAAACTTTGGTTTCATGCAAAAGGTTAATTAAAATTTTCATAAACTACCTCCAAGGCTAAGCATGGTGGCACACACCATCTCAACACCCAGGAGACAGAGACAGGCAGATCTCTGTGAGTCTGAGGCTAGCCTGGTCTACGTATCGAGTTCCAGAACAACTGAGGCTATACAGTGAACCCTGTCTCAAAAAAGCAAAACAAAATTCTACCTTCAAAAAAATAGCCAGGCCGGGCGGTGGTGGCACACGCCTTTAATCCCAGCACTTGGGAGGCAGAGGCAGGCAGATCTTTGTGAGTTCGAGACCAGCCTGGTCTACAAGAGCTAGTTCCAGGACAGGCTCCAAAACCACAGAGAAACCCTGTCTCGAAAAAAAAAAGAATAGCCGGGCGATGGTGGTACATGCCTTTAATCCCAGCACTCGGGAGGCAGAGGCAGGCGGATTTCTGGGAGTTCGAGGCCAGCCTGGTCTACAAGAGCTAGTTCTGGGACAGGCACCAAAGCTACAGAGAAACTCTGTCTCGAAAAACAAAAAAAACAAAAAAAAATACACATACATACATACACACATATATAGTATGTGTATATAAATATATATGGTGTATATAAAGCACAAATGAATTAATTCCATGTTTAACCTTGAGTTCCATCCCCAACAGAATTCATTATATGTGTATAAATATTCCCAAATCTGCATCTAAGAGTTTCAGGTAAGGGATACTCACGCCACAGCAAGAGAAGAGACTGAAAAACTGAAAATCACCAAACACTAAAGGAGAGCGGGAAGGAAAGAGACCAAGGCAGAAAAATGCAGCCCAAGAGGAACAAAGACCACATGGTAAGCAGAAGAAAGCTTCAGAGAAGAAAGAGTGTGAGTGAGAGAGACAGACAGACAGACAGACAGACCGAGAAACAACCTCTAACCAAAGTTCTTACAGATATATTAGATGATATTGCTTCCATGGAACAAGAACAGGGTACTATATAAAAAGAACACTCAGAAGCCCAAAAAGAGCTTTCAAGTAAGAAAAGTGGATTTTTTTCTTTTCTTTTGTTGGTGGTAGTGCTGCTGCTCTGGTTTTTGAGACAGGGTCTCATTATGTCATCCAGGCTAGCCTCAAACAACCCCCCTACCCAGACTCTTGATGCTAGGGTTACAGGCGTGTGCACTCACGTCCAACCAAGAAATAAAATCAGGACATTCAGACCACAGACAAAAATGATAAGATAAAGAGGGTGGAAAGGTGAAAGGAAAAGCCAGGCAATCAGAAGTGAAGAGCAGGAAGCCCAGCATCTGAAGGAGGAAATGGAAGGGCAGCGATCGTCACAGAAATGAGAAGGAAGAGAGGAGCAGCAGCACATGGCGGAAGGAGGTGGATAGAAACCCCGTCTCACTGGAGTAGGCGCTGTCCCGGAGGCCAGGGTTGCCGGGCACAGGAGCAGAGGAGACGACGGGAATGGTGGCAGGGGTGCTGTCAGGAAGCACCTCTCTGGAAGGAAGGAATGAGGAGGTAAGCAAGGGGACCCAGCTTCCACTCCCACCCTCCGCCTCTCCACTCACAGGTAGCCCTCATTGGGGTAGTCCTCCTCGTCCTCCTCGTCGTCCTCCTCATTCTCAGAGGTTCGCTCTGTGTGGAACGAGAAGTCAACATGACCTGGGACAGACCCAGCCTCCCCCACCCCGCCCAGTGCCCCAGACCCTAGACCCACCCTGGTTCTCGTAGCTCGCCACACTGTTGACTTCAAAGAGAGGGAGAGGAAGATGGAGTCAGTGCAGGCTGCACGCCCTCTCCCCAGCCCTCTAGCCCTGTACCCCCTTACCATCATTTGAATCCTGCTGGCAACCCCCAAAGGGCTGTGGGGATCTCCTGGAAGTCAAAGGTCAGGGAAAAGTTCTAGATAGGACTCTGAGGGTAAGAGGCATTACAACAGGGAAAAAGTCACCCCACCCCCCATCCTAGAAGGTGAGGAGGCACAGCGGATCAGAGGGAGGGAGTTGAGGGGTACTCACAGGTCTGGCTGCACCAGGGGTGGGACGGAAGCAACAAAAGGATATGAAGTGTCAGTTGTTGAGGGGCTGGTTATCTCTGAGGACATAGAACCAAGCTGGAGGGGACTCCAGACATTCCCCCCACCCACCCATGTCAAGGCCTCGAAGGACAGATGTACCCATAAACACCATAAACACCCTAAACAGGCATGGGGGCTCCCACTTTCCCCCAACCCAACCCAGATAACAGCCCTGCAGACAAGTTAGGGACAAAGAAAGGCACACTCCTGAGAACCCTCAAGGAAGGCCAAGGACACAGAACTTACGAGTTGGTTTGATGAAGATACTGCTTGGGTACAACCTGGCAGGAAAAAGGCAGCCTGAGTACAGGGCCAAGTGGGAACAAAGGGAAGACACAGGGCAACGGGACTGAACACTCACCTTTCTGTGGACACACTGTCATAGGAAGCTGGAGGAGAGAGGGCCAACGAGGCAGGATCAGGGTACACTGGGAACAAAGATGTTCAGTCCCATCCTACCCCTCAAGCAGGACTGAGGTACAAATGATCAGAGGGAGCCAGGGGCTGGGGAGAGGATCCCATGGGGTAACCAGTGTCCAATACCCCACAGCTCCCCCACTTACCTGGCAACTCACGGCAGCGCACACACAGGGCAGCCAGGAGCGTGACCAAGAAGGGCAGCAACAGGAGGCCCAGCCCCATGGGGCTCAGAGTGTCTGCTTCCATCTGCAGAGCACCTGGCCCAGGCCCCGCTGCACCGCAGCCCCTCCAGGCAGAGTGGCAGCAGGGGTGTGGGACTGAGTGGGCCCCAGCCTGGGATCCAGTGGCAGGTAGCTGTGTGCTTCTTTGGGGCTCAATGACCCCCCGCTTCCGTGCTGGACTGAGTGGAGATCAGTGTTGGGAGACGCTGGTCCCAGAGCCTGAGCTGGGGCCTGTGCCCCAGCTACCAGTCGCCTGATCCCTATGCCCAGCTGTACCAGCCCCTTTCTTGTTCCCCGCCTGCTTCTCCTCCTCACCACCCGCGTGCGACAGGAAGCTGTGGTGAAGGCAGGAAATCATCAGGCTCCTCAGCCGGCTGCGCCTGCCCCCTACCCACTCACCCCCACCCAGTTGTGGGAAGGGGGAGGAGGCAGAGGGACTAAGTAAAGGAAGGGGTCCGAGGCAGCCCCTCCGCTAGGAAGGGAGACACGTGCCAGCCAGGCAGGCTGTGACCTCCCCATCCCTGGAGGGGAGACTCTGCAAGGGCAGCACTGCCCCCACCTTGCAGGCTTGCCTCTGGGAGATCAACTTCCAGGGGACCACAGTGAGTCACAGTCACACCGAACCAACTCACTCGGAAGAGAGCGATCCTCCTTCTATATCACCCAGCCCCGAAGACAGGGACTCACCCACAGGGTGACCCGACTGCCCCTGGTAAGTCCTGAGGCTACAGACATTCCCTGAAACCAATGGCACCCACAGAGAGACAAGTAGCCGGTCATAGTCTGCTTACAAATTTTATTCCATTACAAATAGCACCAAACTCCTTGGGTTGCCCTAATAGATAGGACCCCCCCCCCATTTCTGGACCCCCATCTCTTCCCTGGGCTGCCCACGTAGTGTCTGGGAGCTGGGACATATCCCAAGGCTTCCTCCTCGGACCTGGATCTGTTGAGGGCTTCTGCCTGGGCACCTCCTGGGGTGGGCCCAGGGCCTGTGCACCTGTGGCTGGATGGGCAACAGCTCCTCAGATGAGAACGCTGGACACAGGGACACGGGTAGAACGGCCTCGCTGAGGGACCACAATCCGGTCATCTGAAGGCCCTGTCTCCTGCAACAGACCTGAGGGAAAAGGGTCAGAGCCGAGGCCAATCAGATAAGAGCCAGCAAGGGGAAAGGTGAAAAATGGGGCTGAGGGGCAAAGACGAGGCAGCAGTGAGAGCCCTCAGAACCTTAAACTCAAAACTGAGTGGGTGGTACTGAGAAGCTAGTACCCTTGACCCTGGCAGGTGGTACTGAGAAGCTAGTACCCTTGACCCTGGCAGGTGGCTGGTGGCTTGGGCCTGGGCTGACGGGACAGTCTGAGTGGTGGGAGAGCTGTGAACTAAGAGATGTGGGGTGCAGACATGTGAGTCAACGGATGGACAGACTGACGGACAGTACCATGAGTGTGGGCCGACCGTGGCCCCCACTGACCCTGCACGTGGAGTTGAGCCCGCCGGCGGTCATCCTCAATGAACATGGCAGTACCCAGGAAAGCCGCGCCACCCAGGGCCCCAACGAAAGCACAGAGCATGAGTGAAAACTGCAGGGCCCGGAACTCGGACAAGAAGGAAGCGGGCCAGCTCCGTCGGAGGCGGTCAGAAATCTGTCGGGACGAAAGAGTCAGAGACCCAGGGATGGGGAGCCCTAAACACCAAGAAAATGAAAACTGGACCCTAGCCACAGCGTGAGACCCACAGCCCCAAAGGTAAAACCTTCACACAGCTTCCTCCCATCCACCAGAGGCACCAAGGGGGAAAGTACCACAGGCGGCTATTGCCTAACTAGGCCAGACCACCCCATCCACCTAGGCTCCTGTCACCAGCCACCTGCCAGGGTAGGGAGTGCCAGATTCCAATAGCATCCCATCCCGGTCAAGGATAGTACTCACTAGACCAATGAGGTAAGGGCTCCCAGCATCACCTAGCAAATGGGATAGCACGATCTGGAAGGCCTCGGCAGTGGAGCGTCGAGTAGGGATCACCACATACTGGGGAAGAGGGGAACTCAGTAAGGGTCCCAGAAAAACCAAGGACAAAGCCCACTGTAAGCCCAAGGCAAATTTGTCACTGAGGTCAAGGACAGGCAGACGTGGGACAAGGCAGGCCCAGAGGCCCCTCTGTGGCTGGGCTCTGCAGGACACACGCAGCTGAGATTTGAGGGGAAAGGCCAGAATTCGGAACAAGTGCCACCTTCTGACCCCGATCCCTGCCCCCTTCAGCCTCTGCCCACTTACTCACCAGTAGGATGTCAGCCACGATGGCCCAGTTCATGGACAGCAGGGTCTCCCCAATAAAGATAAAAATCTGGAGGGCAGAAGTGGGAGCGAGTCACATGGCCAGGCTTACTTGTCCACCAACTCCCTTAGTCCCCATTGTGCCCCACAAGGCAGGTGCTAGCCTCCATACCACCACCTTACACCTGAGGAAAGGGCCAGGGTTGGGATTTGGAAGAAGGCGTGCCACCTTCAGCCTGCTCTGAACTGCTCTGCTGGCGGTCATCCTCAACGGACACAGTGGTGCCCAAGAAGATACTGCCCCTCCTGCCCCCGTGTAAAGATACCCGCTAGACCCCTGGTATCCGACTCACGTAGGTAGCCACGATGCTGCCTCGGGCACAGGCCAAGGACAGGAAGAGGAAAGGTGCGGAGCCCAGGAGGCCAGCCGCACAGACCAGTGGGTCGGCCCGAGGGTTGAAGCGGCGAAGACGGCGGCTGATCTCCACACCCAGGCCCACACCCAGAACTCCAGTCAGGCACGTGATGAGTCCAAAGATGAGACTAGGGTTAAGCCCAAAGATGAGACTCCCTCCCTGGCATACTCTGCTGTAGGGGCATGGGAGCTACTCCCGCTCCTGCAAGGCCCTGACCCAGAGAGGGCAGTCCACCCCAACTGCCCTCAAACCCAAACCCATCCCACACAGAACCCCGGGCCGTTGTTACCTCATCACACGGGTTCTCGGAACCAGAAACCGAGACTCCAAGAGTGGAGTCAGGACTCAAACCCTCGTGGCCTGAGTCCAAATCCCTGATATCCCCCCACACGCAGTCCCCCCACTCAGCCCCTCCCACGCACCTGTCAGAGGACGAGCATGAGTCTCCAGGGAGACAGGGCAGGGTCTCTCCCAGAACAACACGGGAGCGCAGCAGGAACGCTGGGGCCCAGAGAGCCAGGGAACCAGTGACGAAGGCCACAGCAGTGAAGCCGAGGGAGGACAGGACGAAACTAGGACTGGGAACATTGGGAGGAAGTCAGACCCACAGGGGTGTCCTCTCCTCCTCCCTGGCTTATTCTGCTGTCAGAAGCTGGATGTGACCTATGTGTGTAACTCAGACAAATGCCTCAAGACAGCAATGCCTGGGTCCCCGGCCCCTAATATGGCCTCCTGGCAGGACGCAAAACCTGGCCTGTTTAAAACTTCAGCCCCCGTGGAGGCCTCAGATGTGGAAGAAAGGGGTCAACTCACTTTCGTGCCAGCGCCTTCAGATCTGCCCACCATGAGGTGGGGCTCAGGGGTGGTGAACCCGAGTGCCGCTCCACAGCTCCTCTTGGGGGCTCCTGTACCACCAGGAACAGGAGCAGAACAGCCACCACCCCCAGACCTGGTGTCACCTGGGGAAAGAACAAGCTTTGGGGCACAGGGCAGGGGTATGCTGAGCCCCTGGGGCCATGAGGAGTGAGGAGGACAGACATAAGGGCTGGTTTAGAAAAGCTGGGACTGAGACTTGGGAAGGTTTACATCTGGGGACATCCTATTTTTACAGGCCTAGATTTTTTTTTGTTTTTTTTTTTTTTTTTTTTTTTTTTGGTCACAGCACCCTGATTTTGTTTCAGGGGCCCCCATCTTACTCCACATGGTTCAAACTGATCTAAGGCCTAACCAAAAGGGCTGTTGATCTCCTGCCTGCCGTGACTGGTTACATAATGGACACATGACTCAGGCTCATCCAATCAGAGACCATCTCATGACTATTGTTCAAGGATCTGAGGTACCCAAGTTGCTCAGTTAAAAGACAATCACTTGGGTTTTGTTTGTTTTTGTTTTTCAAGACAGGGTCTCTCTGTAGCTTTGGAGCCTGTCCCGGAACTAGCTCTTGTAGACCAGGCTGGCCTCGAACTCACAGAGACTTGCCTGCCTCTGCCTCCCGAGTGCTGGTAAATAAGGTTAACGTGGAGAAAAGGAAAGTTAAAACAAAACACGAGCGAATCCAGCGGTGGCGTGGGAGTCCTGGGTCAGACTCCACCAGGAAAGCTCGCTCATACTGCAGCTGATTTCTGCAGCTTGCAGCTTTACACCTGCGAGCGAGGCTTTTGGCTCCCTACCGAGGACCAGACTTGTTGCAGGCTCAGCACAGTGAGCACGGCCACGAAAAGGAAATGTATAGGACCAGCAGGCTGGCTTAGTGAGTAAAGGGTCTTGCGGCCAAGCCGGACCACCTGAATTTAATCTCCAGGACCTTCGGCTGAAGGAGAAAACCGACTTCCAAAGTTGACCTGACTCCTACAGGCATGTATACACACACACTTTTTTTAAGTGTGTTTAAAAAGGGAACAATGACGATCAGAAAGGGAGGTCAGCAAGAATGTGGCTGACTCCCCAAACTATAACCAGACTCACCCGCAAAGCCCAGTGCCAGTCCCCGGCCACATCCTTCACTTTGGAGCCTGCAATGTAACCTAGACCACTGTGAGAAGGCAAAGGGGAAAGAGGGCACAAACGGTCAGTCAAACGCCCCGCCAAGCCCCACCCTGCACCAAGCCCACGGCCTACGCACCTGCCCACGGGAATAGCGAAGTAGAAGACGCTGAGCATCCGACTCCGCTGGTCTGCCACGAAGAGGTCGGCGATCAGAGTGGGCGCAATGGTGGAGTAACTGGCCTCCCCGACCCCCACCAGGCCCCGGGTCAGGAGGAGCAGCCAGAAACGCTGGGAAAGGAGACATGGGGGAGGTGGCATCCCACCCTGGAGCCAGCCTCCCAGGAGACATCTCCAGCTAGTGCTGGAGAGGCAGCAGGGACGGCGAGAGGCCTGGGTTTAGAATCACACAGACCTGGCTTGGAATCTTGGCTCCACTTACTAGCTGTGACTTTGAGAAAATAACTTAACCTCTCTGAGCCTCAGTTTCCTCATCTGCAAAAGGGGAACAACAACAGTTTGTTCACATCGATACTGTGAGGGCTTCACACTCGTTAGGTGCAAAATCAGTCTTGGGTTTCTACTGTTCCCTCCCACCTATGATCCCCCCATGGAGAATAATGAT